CAATTCTTCTTCTTCTTCTTCTTCTTCTTCTTCTTCTTCTTCTTCTTCTTCTTCTTCTTCTTCTTCTTCTTCTTCTTCTTCTTCTTCTTCTTCTTCTTCGTCTTCTTCTTCTATTAGTGTAGAGAATGGTGCAAAATGCATATCCCCCACAAAAAAGTGGAATTGGTATGCTCAAACTGGAACAACGCCAAAGTGCACAGTCTTCGATAATATATCATGATATTAAAGTCGATGAGACCTCAACACTCGTGCCGTTGAGGATGTTTTTGTTCCATAACTGAAATAGGAGACTGACCCACCCGACAGCGTACAATCTTTGAAACAGTGCCCAAGAAACAAAAAAACCCCCAAAAACCCAAACCAAACCAAAACAAAAAAAAAAAAAAAAATTAACAACAAACAAACAAAGAAACAAAACCAAACAATTACCCCCCTCCTCCAAAAAAAAAAAAAAGAAAAAAGAAAAGGAAAAAAAAAAAAAAGTTTCATAATCAAAATGTTAAATTATTATTAGAACGTCTTACCAGAATTAAGTTTGCTATATGTTCTGCACTGCTGTCATCAAAGTTGTTTCCTGAAAAAGAAACAGGCACATAATTCCCAGTTTTTGGTAAGACAACATTTACACGAACGTTGTGCTTTTCGCACGAAGGAGACGTGTATATTCACATTAATTTACATTTCAAAATACAATCAATGCGCCATGTGTATATCAATACATACATAGGAGGGAAATGGTGTAAGTATAAATGTTAGGTTTAAACGCCCCTTTCAACACTGTTAGGTTATTTAAGAATTGGAGCATTTGAATTTCACGTCCGTCTCCAATATGACCAAGCCATCTGGTCTGAGAACCGCCAACACTCTACAGAACAACTCGAGTTCAAGAAAGCCTAGTTAGGGACTCAAACCAGGGTCGCCTGCTTTATGGTCGGACGTGAAATGAAAATAGAGCTCACAGAGCGCACAAGGATGAGTGTGAGGACGGACTGAGGAGGACTTCACTTGTTTCAAATGTTGCTTCAAAAACACAACAAAACTACAAGTACAAGGATTAAGAAGTGTATTTTGGGTAGTGCATAAGTTTATCAACACTTGCACATAATGCACACATACGCAATAAACAAGAAATAAAATAGTCTTAAAAGACGTCCAAGAACGCACATGCACACTCATTCGCTTACATAAACACGTACAGACAGACAGACAGGCATACGGACGGACGGACGGACGGACAGACAGACAGATAGATAGACAAACAGACTACTACTACTACTACTACCACTACTACTACTACTACTACTACTATTACTACTACTACTACTACTACTACTACTACTACTACTACTACTTCTACTACTACAACAACAACTACTACTACTACTACTACTACTACTACTACTACTACTACTACTACTACTACTAATGATAATTTAAAAAAATAATACAGATAATAATTACATTTATATAATGCATATCCACCCTCTGCAGCCTGTTTTATGCGTTTTAAAACTTGCTAATACTATGCAGATACAAAATACACACAGACACAATCACACCACATAAACATGCAGACAGATCAGACACCTCACCAGAGAGGTTGACTTTGCGTAGAGTGTCGTTCTGCTCAATGATTTGACAAAGCTGCTCTGTGCAAGAGTTCAGCTTGTTGTCAGACACGTTCTGGGGACACAGCGGACCTTCTGTTTTAGTTTCAGTAGTAAGAATTTTACGGCACTTGCAACAAAATTAGGCCGTAGGAGTCTACTCTTGTTTTAGTAAGAGTTTTACGGCACTTGCAACACAATTAGGCCATATAACTTAAGTGATGAAGATTAAAGGTGTTATAATAGAGCAACAAATGCAAAAAAGGAGGAGAGATAGAGATGCTAGACTATGTTTCATAGGAAAGAAGGTATAAACCACAACAAAGCATCCGCCAACCACCTGCAGTGGACCTTTTTAAAGCAGGTGTTTTCACGCCTTCATCGACACATTTTAAGTCACTTAGGAGGTGGCTTTTGAACCTGCCTGTCAGAGCCAACCCAGTCTGAGAGGGATATAAAGTTCCAATAGAAGGACCTGGATGCTTGCTAAAAATTCTCCCAGATTTGAACTCAGGTCTTCTTCGTGCGACAGCAAAGTTCCTAACCGCAACACGATAGACGCCGGCTCATGTGGAGGCCTATGTGGAATTATGAGCACTTTTTTATGACGCCAGAAAGTGAGTACATGTGTTTGTGTATGAGTGTGATTAACGTGAGAGCACGCGTGACTGTGTGTTTGCCTCCATGTCGAGACTCACCAACTCCGTTATGAAGCAGTTCTCTTTCAGCATCTCACAGAGTGCCACGCCCCCTTCCAGACCTAGCCAGTTGTCTGAGATGTCCAGGGTGTTGATCGTCGCGTTAGACTGAGAAGTTATAAATAGAATGGGGTCAAAGCTCAGGATTCCAAGCCTATAAAAAATGTTAGTGTTTGTGTAAACTAGAGGGTAGTGGGGTCTTTTTGTGCGTGGTGTGTGTGTGTGTGTGTGTGTGTGTGTGTGTGTGTGTGTGTGTGTGTGGGGGTGAGTGTGTAATATATTATATTATATAAGTGATCTAAGAAAAAAGTTTTCCTGTTCATGTAATGAACAGTATTTAGAACAGTTATAGATAAAACCGCTGCAGAAAAGGGCAGCAGGAGGAGGAGGAAGAGAAGAAGAAGAAGAAGAAGAAGAAGAAGAAGAAGAAGAAGAAGAAGAAGAAGAAAAACAGCGAAACAATAACAAGAGAAAACGGGAAAAAATCATCATCAACAAGAACAACAACATGATCATCATCATCATCATCATCATCATCAACAACAACGACAATAACAAAAACAACAACAAAAACAACATAACCATCAACAACAGCAAAAACAACAACAACAACGACAACAACAATAACAACAAGAAAAACATTACCATCATCAGCATCAACAACAAAATGAACAACAACAACAACAACAATAACAACAACAACAACAACAGCATCAACAACAACAACGACAACAACAATAACAAAAACAACATTATCATGATCAGCATCAACAACAACATGAACAACAACAACAACAACAAAAACAACAACAACTCACCACCAAAGAAGCAGCAATGGCCTTCATGCCGTCCCCCGCCAGGCCGTGATGTTTCATGGACAGAGAACTCTCGTTCATGTGTCTCAGGAAATAGGAGGCGGGCACCACACCAAACTTTTTGCATGCTTCCACGTACGCCGATTTGCCTGTATGGTCGTAGCTGGTGGGTGGTTCTGTGTAGAGACAAGGACGTGAGTTAAAAAAAAAAAAGTAAAAATCAAACAAATAAATCTGTAAGGTTATATACCCCCTCCCAGTTCGACACAAGGATATGAGTGAAAAAGCATAGACTTGTATGATATTAATATTAAAGATTGTTTACTCTGACGTAATTAAAGTCATAAGGGGCTCTCGTGGGCGAGACGGTAAGGTGTTCGCCTCTCATTCAATAGGTCCCGGGTTCGGATCTGGACAGGGACAACAAATCTTTTTCTCTAAAATTGTCTCCTTTCACCTCCTTTCCTGCTCTCTAACAATGTTCTGTCGTCTGCTTTCGTCCCCACCTTCTGCCCCCACCCCTTCACCTTATTTGCCCCCTCCTCTGGGCTCTTGACTCTTTCTGCAGCCTTTCTACTGCTACACCTTGGCTCCTTCTTACTGCTGTCTTTTAGCCACACCCCTGGTCTTATGGTAGGTAAGGTCTAACACCTAGCCTTTTAGGAGGTCTCGTGTGCAAGATGCGCACGTTAAAGTTCCCTTTGTGGTCCAAAATCGATCAAATGTGTCTCGCGCGCTCATATGGCCCTATGCAGTCGCGAGCGCCGTAAGTCGCCAACCCAAAAAAACAACCCAAAACAAAATAAAAACAAGTCCACTATGAAGCGTACTATGTCACCTTGTCTGGAACAAAACCAAATGTAAGCAGAGAAAAGTTGCACACGCACTTTACTATAGCAAGACTAGTGATGATGAAGACAATCAGCCGGCCCACACTGAAATGGATCCCCATGAAGAGGGGCGAGGAAGCATGGAGCACCACGTCTTCCTAAGACCCCAGTTCTACATTGAAGTAATTCAAGTAAGACTAGTGTTCTGACCTTCATCTGTGCGTCCATGGTGCTCAAGGTTTTGAATTTAAAAAATGTTATACACGGCAAACAGCGGCGGCCATGAGATAGTTCCTTTTTGGAAAGAAATTGTAATTCAAATCTTTGGTAAAAAAGATATGAAGTGTGCAGGTTTAAAGCTCGTTTCAACATTGTTATGTTATTTAAGGGGTATGAACCTCCGAACTGAACGTTCATCTACGATAGATCGATAAACGGACAAACATACAGACAGACAGACAGATAGATAGATAGATAGATAGATAGATAGATAGATAGATAGATAGATAGATAGAATAACAAATAAAGAGACAGACAGTGAGACAAACCTTCTGTCTCCAGATCTGTGTCCCAGTCTTTCTCATTGCTGATGTCCACCATCATAAGGTCAAGGTCAGAGCGACTGCCCCTCGGTCTCATTTCGTCCACGTCGCTTTCGCTGTCTGAACTTTGACCCTGAGGCTTGGAGCCTGCGCTCTCCTGTCTGGACGCCCGCGACTTCCGGCTGCTGGCTCGACTGATTGTCTGCAAGAAGTTAGAGAAAAGAAGTTTTCTAAGTCAAGGTCAGCTTGATCCAGTTATATTGTACATGAGCTTTTTCATGCAATCGCCAACACAGTTTAGATAATTCAGGAGGCTGGCAGCTTCGATAATTGTCTGTATTGGTGGGATATTGCGTTCAAAGCTCTTTTCAACACTATTAGATTATTTGAGAGGCGGGACCTCAGACTTAATCCGAGTTAACGCCAATCTCCAAAAGGACCGAGTCAAATAGGAAATCCTTGTAAAAATAAATGCCTTTCTCAAGGACACAACGTCGGACCGAGCTCAGTCTCGAACCCCCGAACTCGCAATCTCACAACTACGGTCCAAGTAGCCTAACCACTAAGCTAACTGTTTTTTGTAATGACAGTTACAGTGAGTGTGTGTGTGTGTGTGTGTGTGTGTGTGTGTGTGTGTGTGTGTGTGTGTGTGTGTGTGTGTGTGTGTGTGTGTGTGTTCAAACAAAAACATATGTAAATTTGCCACCGTAACCCAAAATTTCCCCACGAGGAATCAATAAAGTGTAATTTGTATCATTATTATTCTATGATATAGATATCACGGATAACCCAGGTTGTATGGATATATCCCAACCATACGTTGCAGATACTTGATAAAATAACTCACTCACTTGGGAATCTAGCTCGTGTCTTCCGAATGTAAGACAAAAACCTTATCCTTATGCAACAGACGCTGGTGAAGCTATTCGACTCCTTACAAGCCAGATAGGTTTTCGCGTGTGCTACCGGCGATTGAGGTACAGCGATTAAGCAATCGGCCGTCGCTCGCAGAATACCTGGGGTCGAGTCCCGTGTGGGGAGGATTTTTATCTAGCATCTCGGTGTATCTGCTGAGAGACTTACAAACAGGATCGCAGCCCGCTTTCTAAAATGATCTAAATTATGTCGATTTGGGTGGGGTGGGGGGGGGGGGGGGAACACATACATTATACATGCTATTTTAATTAACATATTGCAGCTAAATCTGAAGGACCACCAGATTTGCTTCGGTGTAGCTGGGTTTTCGGTTGAGAGAGGTTGCTCAAATTATTTCGGTTTACCGCTGTTTTGTCGTATTAACCAAATCCGTTTTCAGCGAACTCCACTGTATTAGAACTACTAGTAATTTATGGCTTAGAGTGACTGTAAGTTCGTTCCATTTTTTAAAATGGTTTCCACTTGCTTAGTTCATGACTCTTTGCATAAATTATTGAATCACACTAACATTTGAAAACAGATCACACCCCTACTTCTTTCCGGATACGGATTTTTTCAAATCCGCAGTTGTTGTTCCCTATGTAGGAAAACACCTTCAGTTTATGAATTTACGGTCACAGCTACAGCAAAAAAAAAATAAAGGGAATTTAATAGCCAAAGGTCGCAGTGTGTGCAATAGCTGTTATATCACAGTAAATATTATATTATTATTATTAGGCTGGAAACGAAACTAGCAAAAACAATTGTTTATCATTGTACAATCCTATATTTTAGTACGATGCAGCAGTCAAGAAAAAGTCAGCAAGCTGCACAAATCAACAAGTGAAAGTGAAGCACAATATACATGCTGAAAAATATGGCAGACTCTTCTCTGTCAGAATTTGTCTCATTGGCCTTTGTAGAAGCCACACATAGTCGCAATCCTTACCTCTACTTCTTAAAAAAATTGTATTCTTCTTTGTAGATACATGGATCATCATACAACATTGACGGACGAACTTCTATCATTAACATTTTAGTACAATAAAATTCACACCAGATATGCTGCATCATTTGATCTTCTCAAGGAATTTCATTGTACAAAAATGTGGGGTGATAAAATATAGATACAATAGTTTTCGGGTTTCTTTTATTTGGTAGTATAAAGCATGTAGCGCAACCAACACGACCATACTAATGTACTATACACAGCAGAATACTACATTGCTATACTACAATACTATACATGTACTACAATACTATACTAACACAATACTGCTGTACGTCGACAAAACGCCTTTTTCTTATTAACACGGAATGACAATCTCTTCAGGGTGTAAGATCAACCGTTGATGTATTGTGCAGAATAGTTTAGCTATATAAAAAAGCCGAAAATTGGTGATTTCTCGAAACTGCTGTGAATAATGAAAGGCGTTTTGTTAGTGTACGGCAGAATATACAATACTATATTACTCTATTATAACATACTATAATAACTACTATACCCGCCTTCTTCTTCTCGGGCTGTTTGGACCCAGAGAATGAACCTTGTCGAGGAAGCCTTCTTGTCGCCATAATAAATTTTAATAATATACAATCCCAGTGCTGGCTTCAGTAAAAGCATTCCGATCAACCCGCGAACACAGACTGATACAGCGCTGACGCCCCGAGTTTTATACAAGCACTGTCTATCTAGTTATCTCACAGGGCGCAACAAGTGCCATAGACGTGGAAGAAAGGACAGATGGTGGTGCTTTTTCCACTCGAGGGATTTTTGTTTTGCTTTGTTTTTGGAATGGCATTGTATAGAGTTAACGTCTGTTTTAGCCACGGTAGGGTTATTTCTTTAAGCACGATATCTATTTTTCAGGTGTCAAACTGATTCTGTCCAATGATAAACAATTCTAGAGGGACTCAAAGACACCATAAATTCAGGAAAGAGAGAGAGAGAGAGAGAGAGAGAGAGAGAGAGAGAGAGAAAGAGAGAGAGAGAGAGAGAGAGTTCAGAAAATTTAAAAAATCCATGTGTTCTTTATAAAGGACACTGGGCACGAATGGCCCCATTTTTTCTCCCAGTTGAACGTCCTCTATAAAGGACACTGGGCATTGAGCTTTATGTATTAAAGGGAGTATAGATATGAGCGGGGAGGGGTAGGGCGTTATTAGCCAACAGTGGGTATGTTATCGATTTCTTGGTGTATACATATATGCGAGTGTAAAGGGAAAGTTACATCCTTTTTTTGGTGGGTATAAGTGGGTGTATAGGTATAATACCTGGCTGCATAGGCTATAAATATCTATTCTGCTCCTAATAATTTCGTCTTTGTGCCCTTTTGTCGCCCACCTAATGAAAATCTAGAGTTAAACCATATTCTTACGCATTCTAAGATGGGTAAAAACGTGAGCAACTAAGATTTAATAAGTAGGTGTATCGGTATAAGTGGGTATAAAGGTTTACGGGGGGCTCTCGTGGCCTTAGAGGTTAAGGTGTTGGCCCCTCATTCAAAGGTCCCGGGTTCGATTCCGGGTAGCGACCGAAAAATTTTCTGCTCTAAAATTGTCTCCTTTCACATCCTTTCCTGATCTCTAACAATGTTCTGTTGTCTGCTTTCATTTCCACTTTCTGCCCCCACCCCCTCACCTCCTTTGCCCCCTCCTCTGGGCTCCTGACTCTTTCTGCAGCCTTTCTACTGCTACTCCTTGGCTCCTCCTAACTGCTGTCTTTCTGCCACACCCCTGATCTTCTGGTAGGAAAGATCTACACCTAGCCTTCTCGGAAAAGGGCGAAAAATCTGGGAGGGCCCGTGTGCAAGTTGCGCACGTTAAAGATCCCTTGGTGGTCTAAAGTCGATAAGAGTAGGCTTCGGCCGCCACCCGGGCAAAATTCAAAATTTCCTACCAACGAAAAAGTATTAGGTGTGTCCCGCGCGCTCATATGACCTTATGCAGTTGCGAGCGCCGTAAAACCCTATACTAAACCAACAAACAAAAGGTTTACGCAGTTTTATTTGTATAGATGGGTGTTTAGGCATATCAGGGTGTATAAGTGGATGGAGAGGTGCTTTAGGCATTCTGTGTTTCTTTCAAAATTTTGGTTTCGTTATATTTTTCCCAAGATCAAAGGCATTTACATTCAATGAAGTTCTCAGTCAATCAGAAGATGATATGATATTGAAATTGTCTCAGCCGATGTCTACATATCTCCACCAGGAGATGAACAGAGTTCAGACGAAGATGATGTCAATGATGATGTGCAAGAATCATTGTCATTAAACGATTTACCAGGAAGGCAACAGCAAAGCAGTCCTCAGTTCCGAGTTACCAGGTGGAAAGGAGAAGAAAAAAATCTTTGCTGATCAGCTAAATTTAATCAACAGGTACAACTCAAACATAGGTGATGTTGAGCGCCTGGACCAAAATGTGGGTACCTATCGGATATCAATCCGATCCAAGAAATGGTGATGGCCGTTGTTTGCCTTTCTGGCAGATGTAGCCATCAACAATGCGTGGCTACTGTACAGGTTGTCACCGGCTCGTGGCACTCTGCCTCTGAATCAATTGGCCTTCAAGAGATCTATGGCTCAGATCTACCTTAACCTACTGAGAGCTTTGCATCATTTGCCAGTTGTGCAAGCTCAGAGAGCAAAACGCGGAAGGTAGCACCAGATATTCGCCATTAAAATCAATACCAAAACAAAGACGATGTAGTCTTTGTGGGGAAAGGGCCAACACACAGAGGTTCATGCAATGTGCCACTGCATCAGAGGTGCGCTGAGCAATTTCATGCTTGAATTGGCAGTTATGCATGCCATCTTTTGGATATCGTGGAAGTGAAAAAATTGCCTAAAACAGTTACACATTTTTGAATTTAAACGATTATGCATACAATTCATACATTTCTCTAAGATACAATTTCCTAGAAAGGTTCGATTTTGGTTTTCTAAGATCTTTGACTTTGATATAGGACTACCCAATGCCCAGTGTCCTTTACAGAGGACATTTGATTGGGAGAAACCTGGGGCCATTCGTGCCCAATGTCCTTTATAAAGGACAAAATAAAACATTTGAATACATTTTTAAAAATTGAAATACTTCAAAATATGTTATGGTTTCTTCATTTGAATGCACGGCCACATTAAAAAAAAAGTGAAATCAGTTATTTTTTAGACCTTCGTCATTAATGGGTAAGCAACACGGAAGCTAAGGCAACCAAATCAGTTGAGCATGAATGTTATGGAAGGCTTCCTGTAAAAAGGTGCCATGGACTCCAAAAAAAGATCACGTGTT